AAACCAAGAATGTGAATATCACTGTTTTCGAGCAGATAATAATAGTCTTCAGAAAAAAAAACCAGTGCTACTTATTTTCAATAGAAATAACCTATGCAAAAAGTACATCTCAACTTTTTGCGTTGTATAAATCTTTGTATACGTGAAAATGGTGAACATTTTGAACAATTTTTATGAAATATCTGTTAATCGTTTTACTATTGATTATGCTCTTAATCACTGAAATTAAAATTTTGTCGAAACCATTCGACCATTTGTCAAGAGTACCTTTTTTGTAGTGAATGAGTTGAACAATCTACATTTCATATCGAAACTAACTTTTTCTATTGGCGTAGGAGTTTTAGATGTTTATTTACTGAAAAAAGCAAGTTCTACGCCCATGGAATGATATTCATTATGATTAGGATTTCAACTTTTTGCGTCGTATAAATCTTTGTTCACGCGAAAATAGTGAACATTTTGGAAAACTTTCATGCAATATCTATCAATCGTTTTATTATTTAAATATGCGCGAAATCACTAAAACTTAAATATTGTCGAAACCATCAGAGTAATCGAATTTTATCAGGAGTACCTTTTTTGTAGTGAATGATTTGGGCTATCTAGATGTCATACTGAAACTGATTTTTTTTTCATTGGCGTAGAAGTTTTAGATGTTTATTTCCTGAAAAAATCAAGTTCTACGCCCATGGAATGATATTCATTATGATTATGATATGAGTTTCATTGCCCGATGAGTCTATGCCAACGTACCAAATTTGAAAAAAATCTCATGAGCCGTTCCAAAGTTATGAAGCAAAATCGATTTGAAAATTTCAACTTCAGAGCCGTCTAGCGCCCAAACTAAGCAACTTTTTACTGAGGTAAGTTTGCTTGTATCGAATTGTTTTGGTCTGAAGAATATGTGGTAGCTTTTTGTAAAGACCTTTTAAGGACACCCTGTAGAATGATATGATAGAATGATGGAAGTAAGATATGGTGTAATTGCTTTTGTTTCAGAAATTTTACTCGACCTCTCGAGAGCAGCGAGAGCAATGGTTCCGTTGATCTTCTGATAGACGGCGACTAGCGGCGACATTGCACAATTATGACTTCTGTCAGTTTTGAAATTGTCGCAGATTTTTCAAATCTAGAGTTTTTTAGTCCCACTGTTACATATGTTCCGCGTACCTAAAATGGCATTTGCCATTTTATTTCCACTCGTCACAGCAGCAATAGCAGCATTACCATCTAGCGGGAAAATGTAGAATCAATGTCCCGCTCGTTGTGACGTAGAGAAATCATAGTAGGCCGGTCGAGTGATTTTTCTGAAATTTTCAATGTGTAATAATGGCCGAATATGCGATATTCGTCTGAGCTTCCATCATTCTGTATAGGCACCGAACATCAACTAATGATGTTCGGTGGTATAGCACCGAAATAGGTAACGAAATCGATGCCGACGTAGGGAAAAAATGATACGAAACTTGTCAAACCAATATGGCTGTTTCCATCCTTCACTTTCTGTGAAAAGTTCAAAATTTTGTTTAAAAAGAAGCACGGCGATGCAGTGACATGATCTTATCTCACGGAAATTGTGGCGGTTGCCGGTTTGCATACGCCTAGGTCACACACTCCCCAAGGGCGACATACGAACCGGAAGTGTCAATGTTTCAGTGTTATAGTCGATAATCTAAGAATGTATGCCGTTTGGCGAAACAATGAATTCGGACCCATTTATCAGTTTCCCGACATTTGCATACGATTCCGAAGAGGGGAGCTCGACTTTACTCGAACATCAATTGACTAGACAGCATCTTTCAAATAATCGATGATTCAAGTTCGTACGCACTAGGGTCCCTTGATGCGAATTACGGGTGCGTTTTTCATTCCAACATTTTATCATGCGCATGAATCGAAGAAACCATCAAACTGTTGCAAAATTCCGCTGGAATGTTGATGGACATCCATCAAACTGTTGTAATAAAATGCGCACTTTTAAATCGCTTTTCGAGAATCCAGCATTTTAGTGTTGTTTTTTGTTTTGATTTGATAGAAAACAATTATTATTGAGGATTTTTGAGATTCTTGAGAGATTTTAGAAAAAAGAGTTAGTGTTAATCAATAAAATCTAATTAGCCGCTTCTGATTCTCAAGATACATGATGACTGACACACAACAAAATCCGTGTTTCCATCAATGTGTTGTATAAACCATTGTTCAATCCTTCCAGCATAAATTCCAACAGAACAATTGGTGACGTCACGACAAAAAACCGCATCTATCAGTGCGCACTTTCTTCGATGGAATGAAAAACACGCCCGTCCCTTGATGTAAATTGACGTATTTGTCATCTTAACAGGGTAGGGACTCAGGATACGTTCCGTTAATCAACCGAGGTTACCGATGCTTTCAGGGCCGGTACCAACAATCTTGACATTGGTTATCTACTGGTGACTACGATTGTGGTTTATTTACGGAATGCCAGTCATTTGTCAAATTATAGTTTTGGTCGTTTATTAAACATTTATGATTCATCCAGTATTTTATTTTCAATCAAGGCACCCAAAAGTCCCAAATTTGTATGCACAGTTAGCACAAGTAAAATATGTAGCATCCTGGAATAGAAAACACGTCATCAAACTGAAGATATATCGAATATTATAAATGTACCTCAGAAAACGAATTCATTGGAACTTGACTCGACAATTAAAATGGGAATATTGTTCTTCGTTGTAATTTGCAAATCAAAGAATCAAACTGAAAACTAAAACACGTCAACGTCAACTCGAATTTACCGAACTTACCAGAGAAAATTCACGGTCGTTCGGTGACAGTGAATCTAATGCTTTTTCAGCAACCGAGTTCCGTAAATAACCTATTTTCAGGAACCAACCTAACATTTCATATTTACGAAACGGAAAACTACTAACCGAAATAACCAAGTTGATTCACGGGACATACCCTTAGTTTTGTCTACTAGCATCCCTGACATTGCTGTCACGTCACATCCATGGGCGCTACAGAAAATCATTCAAAATTTTGATAATAGGTATGTACAGGGTATTTACTTGTTGAGGAAGATCATATGGCGAACGAGTTTTGTAATTATGATCCGATTCTATCCAAAATTAGAAGGTATCTGGGGATTTCCGGGGTCGGGGATTATAATTATTTCTTCAAAATTGGGATATTCAAGATTCTGGATCCAATATGGTGAACGAGTTTTGTAATTTAGATCCGATTCTATTCAAAATTGTATATAGGGGTTTTTGGGGTAGGAGATAATGATTTTTTCGTCAAAATTGGAAAATTAAAGATGACGGATCCAATATGGCGAAAGATATTTCTAATTATGATCTGATTCTATTAAAGATCTATTGAAGATCTGTGGGCTTTCGGGGTCGAACTTTATGATTTTTTGTCAAAATTGGGATATTCAAGATGTAATAGATATGTGTAAAATCAATTAATCACGCGTTCATAGATACTTAGTCGAATTCAGGAGAAGTAGAGAATGAATAGTAGTTTAAAAAACTGAAGAGATAGATTGCCGAGCTGAAAAGAAGTATAAAATGGTTGGTATTTTGAAAAACTAAAGAAACATGCTTTTATGGACAGCCGAACTAAAAAGTAGTAGAAAATGAGATAAATGAAGTTTACTGGTGAAAATTTAACTAAAATAATATTTTCTAGAAATATTTTGCATAGCAAAACAACGTTTGCCAAGTCAGCTAGTAATCTAGTTATGATATTCATTATTCGTTCCCAATACAATTTGTATATTGTTGAAAAAAGAGAATATTGACAATGTCAAATAATTTCTGAATGTTAATGATTATAAAATTCAAGAAAATAAAAAGATTTCACGATTGAATAAGTTATATACATAGTGTGATATTAGTCACTCCATAAATTCTTCTGCGAGTTGGATTTCCGAAAATATATTTAGCACACATGACATGAGTACAGTAGTTTAGATACCCACATCGAGGTTTTCACCATTTCTCAATCATAAGGCTCAGCTCATTCAGCTCTCAGATAAACTGCTGCTCAGCTTGAAATCAGAATCCAATCAGTCAATTCAGTCAACCCTGGTATACATTCTAAGAACAGTCTCGTTTGGTGAAATATATTAAGCTTCCAGTACAATTTATATGTTCACTACTTCGAAAATAATATGCTGGAGTAGAAAACTCTAAAACTAGAGGATTGTTCATCTATATCTTGGTATAGTTGAATCAGGAATTCCATATGGAAATTACGTATGATACGCCAGTGACCTCAATATAACCTGAAAAAACAAGTAATGTCAAAAATTTTGTGTTTATCCCCAGAATTGAATAAGGATGGAACTATATAACTGTTTCACAAGCACTTTAGAGTGAGAGGCGACGAGGATCTGTACGTACCCTGTTGAGACTAGAGTCTCTGTATGTATAATTCCCTGTATATATTTGTCAGTTTTGACTCTAGTTGAGACGACTTTACCGTCAATTTCCACCAAGGGACCCTAGTATGCACATCTCTGGACCGATAAACGGTTAAACACAATGAAATGGGATTATCAACTTCAACAATGACGGGTAATAAGAATTGAATATCTCTCTGATACAGGAAATAGATGACGCCAAATACTGTCCCTTCAAAATGTCATCACAGAACGACGATTTTCGCTGAATGAACAGTCATGTATAACCCGTCAGTCCCATCAGACAGTCTAGATATTTAGCCGTCATTGCCAGAGCGGCTCGATCATGTCTTTTTGGAAGCCGAATATTGGATGACAGAGCTGGAGCTGTCTACAGGCTTTCGTGTTTTGTGAACGAATGGATCTAGACCGTTATTTCGATTGACACTTGACAGTTGCTTGACTCGATTTTGACTGATGTGATGACTTCTAAATAAAAATAAACTTTGATAAACAGAAAATATTTCTTTGGATTTCAACTAATTTTTATCGATACAATACAACTACCATAGATAAAACCAAAAATAAAATATTGATCCAAAATTCAGTGATGGGGTTTCCCAAGAAGTGTCTGGTATGTTCAGCAGAAAGTTATAAGTTTTTTTCTATACAAGAAGATGGGGCTAACATGCTAGAGGCTTTGACTTCTATAAAGGTAAATGTAATAATAATTTTGTATCCTTCGATAATTCATATTGACCACTTGAACATACCTCTTCACTCCAGGTAATAATCAATGTTTTTAAGAAAATCTAACATACATCCTTTATCCACTTGGGCAGAGATTAGTCAACCACAGGTTGACTAATCTCTGACTTGGGTCTGAGTTGATAGCAAAAGAATACTAGGATACTAGAATCACTAGAACTGCATGGAAATGCTGAAAAGTGGGACAGAAAATAATGTTGTTTTTTGTGTACTCATTGTATATGCTACTAACATGTCATTCCAATATTTATGAAATTTTGTTTCAGCAAGTCTTTCACCTTATTACCAGTAGAAACAAAATTATGTGTTTGACTTCTTTGGAAACTTTTTTGTGGATGTGTATGTTCGGATTAGTTCAATAGATTTGGAGCTATTTATTTATTCCTTGGTCTATCCTAGAGTGCCTAACTAAAAGATCAGATCATGCAGTTGTACCAAATTGGAAAAGAATTATATTATGCAGAAAAAAATGTCATCCTTGGTTTATTCATTCATAATTGAAATTGACTATATCAAATCAAGTCAAGGCAATAATTATCAAGGAGATAGTTGAGAACATTGAAAACCTCATAATATATTGAGTGACTAAGAATTATCAAGCATATGTATTTTTTAATTAATCTATATCAAGATAAAAGATCAATTTGTGAAAGTTGAATGCTGCAATGAGGCCTTTCCACAGCCCTCATTAAAATATCAACAGAGTGATCCCTGGAAGCTTGACCAACCATGTTTTTATAGAAATAGTGATGAGCCTATTTGATTCAGGCATAGCTGAAATACCCCCATAAGAAATTTGAATGCAATATCTCATATAGGGTGTTAGTTATTCAATGGCAATTTTTGACATTTCTGATTTTTCAAATCACCCTTTATCAAAATCTAAGGAGTTGATAATGATGATTCAACCAGTGAAATAGTCATTCAATGGAGAAACTAATCAAATACTTTGATATGACATTTCATCAGGTCAACCAAAAATTAATGGACTTGAAATTAAGAAATTTGTTATCATGATCCATACTGGGATCCATATCTTTTTTGCTGGAAGTAAAAAGTACCTAATTCTAGGCAATGTACTCATTTTCATCTGAAACTTTCATTCCATTTTGCCAAAATTCGTATATTATTATGATCACATCAAGCTTCAGTACTGGCATCAGTATATCTCCTTGCAGTATTTGGAGAGTGTTTGTCTGTCATTCCATTTCTGTTATATTCCACAGCTTTTCATGAATCCATGTGATTTTCAAAGTGTGCATTGTAAATCGTTCTTGATGCTTTGGAATGTTCTAGACAAATATATCATAGTCCAGTTTTCTTATAATATTTTTGGGATATTATCGATTCCGGGCGTGCTGTTTTTGCCTTGGTGAACTTTATTGAAATATTCTTCCTTGTCAATATTATATTCATCCGTTTGAGGATTGTCTGGAAAGTTTACTATTCTTCCACTGTTTGGTAAACATTTTCATCAAACTGGGTGTCTTCTTCCAAGGCGCTTGTGACATGGTCGGCAAATATTGATGCTTTGTCTTCCTAAGTTGTGTATGTTTCACCATTTTGTTCAAGATGGTGGGATGTAGTAATTATTTTCAGATTCTATTCAAAATTTGTATCTGAGTGTTTTTGGGTAGGAGGAACCAATATAGTGAACGAGTTTCATAATTATGATCCGATTCTATTCAAAATTGGTATTTGGGAATTTTCGGGTCAGAGATTATGATTTCTTTATCAAAATTAGGAAATTCAAGATGGCGGATCCAATATGATAAAATAGTTTTGTAATTATGTTCCAATTCTATTCAAAATTGGTATATCTGTTTTTTTTTTTCGTTGGAGATTTTGATTCTCTCGTCAAAATTTGAAAATTCAAGATGGCGGAACCAATATAGCGGAGGAGTTTAATAATTATTATGATACAATTCTATTCAAAACTGGTATCTGGGAGTTTTCATGGTCAGAGATTATAATTCCTTCATCAAAATTAGGAAATTCAAGATGGTGGATCGAATATGATGGAAGAGTTTCCAATTATTGTTCCGTTCCTATTCAAAATTGTTATCTGTAACAAACAAAAACATTGCCGTATGCACTCATTGCAAATTGGTTATTTCGAAATCATTTTGCAAAATAGTGAATAATGAGTTGACGTACAAGGTTTCCAGTATAGAAAAAATTACTTTTTGTGCAGAGAAATTGCGATTTTGATGTGGACAATGGTGGTATTCATCATTGATATCACACTACAATTCCATAGTTTTCAAACATATGGAATGGTCGAAATGGTCCACTCAACACTTGCATGGACTGGAATGGAGCAATATAAGCAATCAGCTATTACAACAATATGGTATAGGCATGAAGAAATAATTGAATTCATCAAGAAATATCACTGGCTTTTATGAAGGAGATGGAATTCTAGTGAAGGGGCTGGGAAAAGAAGATAATTATGGTTGGAGAGGCTGCTCAGAATGAACAATATCATCGATTTACATAAACAAGGATCTCCAGCAATTGAAGACTTGAAGTTATTCTCAAGATCGAATCATTGCAACCAACATTTATACAAGGATTCTAACTGTGCTTCAGAAAATGTATATTATATTATTATAAGGTAGGTATTGGCTTCTTCTTCTTGTAAACAATAAAAGTTCATACAATAATTCGAGTTTTTTCAGCAGGGAAAAATGAGGTTCTGGAATATGCACTTCAACAAATGAATTATTTTCAAATGAAACACAGAAACTCAAAACAATGGTCGCCAAATTTGTTGTTCATACTCGCAAGACTTGTAAAGTTAGCCACCAGAGGCCGCACACTTCGTGATTTTCGCGAATTGCTGTGGAATAAGATACGGGGCGTTGAAGTTAATATTTTTTTTTCGTTTTTTGCCAATAATTCCACTGTATGTTCATTAATTGTTATCAAAATCGGCATAGAGCCATAATTTCATACAGGGACTATTATTTTATGTATAATTTTACAGTTTGTTACAAGGGGCGCCACGTGAATGACTGATAACTTTTTTGGGCGAAACTTTTTAATGATTTGATTAGAAAATAAGACATAAACATCATTTCTACGTGATATTGGTACAATACAATGTTTTCATCAGTTTTAGAGGAAAACGCACTTGAACAGTTCAAAGTCTTGGAAGGGGATTCTAAATATTATTTCATTTTTAAAGAGTGTGCTTTGGACTGTTAGATAATTATCGGTGAAAAACACCTTGTAACTCTGAAACGAAGATAGATATCGATATGCGGTTTTTACCATTGATTTTTTCATGTGATTTGATCAACAGGCACCGACTTTTTTTATCTAGTACAGGATTAGGACTTTCCCTTTGAGAAAGTGTCCAATTTGGCCTCCCCTATACATAATTCTGCAGCGTGTCCTCCTCCTCTGAAATTATCCTTTATTCCCAGCAATCATTACATTTCATTGGCAACCCTGAAGTATTTTTTTATTTCCAGACAGAAGACAACACACGTCCAACAGAAGCCTGTATCAAATGTTGGTTGAACCTTAAATATGCGAATAGAATTCAAAAAAGATTTCTCAGAGATAGGAGACCACAAAATTTTACAGATTTCACTGGTTTCGACCATATTGAAGTCGATGAGGTGCATTTTCAGGATGATGATAGGAAAAGTGAACTTGAATTGGATTTTCAATCAACTAATACGCCAGAAGTAGTAGTAGAAAAGAATCCTAATATAGAAAATGATGAGAAAATCTGCAATGAAAACATTGTTCACAAATCAGAGAACAAAATAACTTCATGCAAAATATGTGGCGATCCCATTTTTGAAGATGAAATGTTGGAACATACCAGAAGTCATTTTTTCTCAAGGATTAAATGTGATCAGTGTAACATGTACTGCAATAACATTGAATCCTACAGAAATCATGTTGGCCAAGCTCATTCAGACTCATTATCCAGAATTTTGACATGTAAAATTTGCAAAACCACATTTTCCTACAAGCCACTGTACTTGATACATCTCAATAAGGCTCATAGAAGGCGTCAGGGCTTGTCTTTGAAGCTCAAGAAAAACCGTGACGATAACAAGCTTCATGATTGTCCTTACTGCAATAAACGATTCAAAAGCGAAGAGAATTGTTTGAAACATATGAAAGGACACAACAAAAAAAAATGTAACTTATGTGGACTCTTAGTCACTCCATCCAATTTCACAGCACATGTGAAGACCCACAAAGAAAAACCTGTTGCTTGTCATATTTGTGGCATGTTTTATAAAAATTCCGTTTGCTTGAGGAGCCATATTCACTATACACATTCTACTACTACTTATTTATGTGAATTTTGTGATAAGGTTTACAAGAAATCATATGCTTTGTCTATGCATATCAAGAAAGAACATACTGGTAAGTTATATGATAATTATTCTCACTTTAATTGGAATGGATGATGATAAATCATATTCAATTTGATCTTCCTTCACTTTTCTTGGTAAGGTCTTCAATTTTGATCTGCTGTATTGTTCATCACATTTTTTCGTTGTTTCCTGATCTTTAATAATGTCTGTGGAGATGGCCTACCTTTCTTGATTTTTTGTTTTTGATGATCAGAGCATTACTTTAGATAGAATCAGATGGCTACAAGCAGTAGAAAAAGTATAGTGTATAACTCGCACGGAATGCTAATTTCCCACTTGTATAATTTGCAGAATTCGCCTACTTCATTCTCGTGGGAAATAACTCCGTGCTCGTCAAACAATATACTATTTCTTCATCCTTATGTGGTTTCAAATGTTGTTTTTATAATCTATTTAGTTTAAGGAAAATTTGTTGAAGATATAGAGAAGACGAATTTTTGATTTTTTAAGAAAAATCGTCCTAAAATAAGTATGAAAACATAATTCTGTAATAAATAGTAATTTAAAAAACAAAAGAAACGCCCTTTTATAGATAGTCAAACTAAAAAGAAGTAGAAAATCAAATAATGAAAGTGTGTTGATAAATACACAACATAGAAAATATTAGCATCTCCACCATCATATAGTTTGTGGGCATCTCGGAAACTATATACGAGAGATACAGATTTGGTTAAATGGGATAAAAGTCATGCGAGTGGAGGACTAACAAATTGAATTTTGAGAATCTCTGATATGACTTTCTGTTTTTGATTTCGAAAAAAACTGAATTTCCGGATTTTCCATTTTATTTTTTCTGGCGTTGATAATGAAGATGGGACAAAATTGAAAAAAAAAACATCTTCATGGCAATTTTTGATGCTTTTCATTTTGTGATCAAAAATGGCGAAAAAAACTTTGAATTTGATGTTTTTAGAAAGGAAACTAACACAATATAACTTATGACTCCAATCACTGTTTTCAATACAAAATGGAAAGTTTCAATTCTCTAGTACATAGACATCATCTGAGCAAAGAAAGATTCGATGTTGAAAGAAGTGCTGTTCAAATGTAAAAACTTCACAAACGATAAGATTTCTCCAAAATTGTTTAAACACACGACATGTTTCGCTAACACAGTAGCTTACTGGTACAATGAACATGTACCAGTATATCAATTCGAGAATCCCAATATCGTTCAGTCCCAAAGTATACGTAGGGACTTGATAAGGTTTTCAAAGACTCAGGTTTTGAAAGCGTTCATCAGTTTGGGTCAAAATTAGTCAATTTATCAGGTAATCCAAAAGATAAGGTGAACACACTTGAAAAGTGAAGAATATACGAAATGTACACGAAGGGACTTGATAAAGGTTTACAAAGACTTTGGGTTTGAAGGCGTTTATCAGTCTGGTTCAAAACTAGGCAAGTAATTAGGTCATCCATAAGATAAGGTGGACACACTTGAAAAGTCAAGAATATTCGAAATTAGTTGTAATGATTGTGATAAAACATATATAAGCCAAACCAGTAGACCCATAAAAACAAGGTTCAAAAAACACCTAGCACATTTGAAATGTGGTAGGTGGTAGGTTAGATAAATCGTGTGTAGCCGAACACATGTTCAATCACAATCATATCACAAGTTAATAACCTCAAATTAGTTAGGCAAGTTGAGAAAGAAAATTAGATGCATATAAAAGCCTAGAGATATTTAAGAATGGTGATAGAGTAATGAATAAAGATGATTCTAAGATATTCCATATAGCCCTCTGTATACTTCAGTGATATAATATTGAGGTTAACATGTGAACTCGACCATCACAAACATCAACTTGGCGGTTAGTGTATTTCAGAATAAAATATTTACTTTCAATTTTTTCATGAGTATGCTAAGATAGTTAGTGAAATATGTGTCGAGGCGTATTAAAAATCGGTTTGGTTATTGGTAAAACAGTGTAGTATAATAACGTAAGAAATAAATCGCCAAATCACAATTATAATTATATATATTTTCAGGTGAAAAATCTCATACTTGCGACGTATGTGGCAAACGGTTCTTTACCTTCTTCAACCTGAACACGCATAAGAAGATGACGCACTTGAAGCTTCGGCCACATGCTTGCCAGTACTGCAACAAGAAGTTCTCTAGCAAATTTGCTAGGGTCACTCATGAACGTCAACACACCAACGTGAAGCCCTACAAGTGTGAAATATGCGGGCAAGGCTACCGACAGAATGTCTCATTGAAATCACACAAAAAGTCTGCGCACGATATAGTTGAGGAGTTGACTTGTAAATGTGAAGTTTGCGGGAAAAAATTTGCTAGCAATTTCGCAGTTTTGAGTCATATGAGATTACATTAGAATAAGAATTATGAGTTCCTTAACATAATACATCGGATACAAATACACGTGGCAAAGTTATTGTTCATGGTAGGGAATCTTGACCTATCCCAAAAGATGTATGAGTTGATGTACTATATCATCGTCATCGCCGGTTCAGTCGTTAGGAAGATATTTAAAAAAAAATAGCAATGTTCCAAGTTACCCGCAGATTTGAAAACGTGGAACAGGAAAACAAAAATGTCGTTGTAGTAAATTTATCGACTGGTGAGCATACTGAGTACACAAGTATTTGTTTTAGTGTTATCTACAAATCAACCTGGAATCATCTTGTGATTGGGTAATCCAATAAAAATAAAATATTTCAAAGATACATTCTAACCTAGCAATGTTATCAATGCATTTTATCAAAAACTCAAAATATCTCTTCAATATAATTCCTAACAGCGAAAAAGACTAGTAAAATCTCATTTAGCAAAAACAATTCAAAAATAAACTCTGGTGTTGTTGGTGGGAAGTTTAGGGGGTTGTTGTAGGGTGGTGGATGGAGGGAGAGTTTGATCAGGTACCTATTATACCAACAGATAAGTTCAATCCTTCGCGCCTGTTCCAAGTTTTCGGCGAATATTTGCAACTCTGACTTTTGTAATGAACAAAAAAAATTATTGGCAACAATATTCAAAAAGCAGTGATATCACGGCATTTCGCTAGTAAAATGGTTAGTCAACATGAGTTATATGGAATGAACGCCATATCGATCATGTCTTTTGACTTGGATCTTTTAATGCAATTTTTTCTTGTCATTCCTGTTTATAGTTTCAATATGATAAAAAACATATTCAAACGGCACTTATTTTTTATCGACTAGTATATAACCATACTGAACAACTATGCACGATACGATGTTGCAAAATGAAATCTGCTGTAGATTTCAGGGGGTAATTCGAAAATATGTTTTGTTCCAATTTACCCCGCAGTTCCAAGTATCCCCATTTTACGGTATGTAATTTCTATACAGTGTTCAAATCTTTCAATAAATGAAAAACAATTACAATCAACAATTCAATTCAATCAAAAAAATCTCGAAAAATATGAAATTGAAAGGTATTTGAGTGATGATTCTATTTAAGAAATACAAAAAAATTGTCAACTCACCTATTGTTGCAGAAAAAATAGCATTTTTCGTTCGGATCAAAAGTGACTTTGTTTGACTCGCAAATTATGCTTTCGCTCACCTTCGCTAGACGCTCCGCCTCGCAATTGCGAGTTTACATAACAATGCGCGAAGTATGCATCGTTTTACTTCGCGCACTGCATAGCACATGGTGTCGTGGTAACGTAGGAAACTGAAAAAAGTGTCACTTCGCAATTTGTTATCGATGCGCGAACCTTGTTGTTCTTGACGTTTGTGGAAAAAACGAATTTTGAGTCATCGAACACGGTTATGGTTTCGGTTTTGCTTCAATGAACATCGTGAATGTAACTCAAAAGTTTAGGGCTACAATAATTGATCTGTATTGCGATTACGGTAAATACTTTTGTGACTGTTCAATTTCTTGTATGCAACATGTTTGAGAAGTATTAACTAATCTAAAGTTGGTAATAGTGTGACTCATCTCAAAATACTTCAAAAAGTTGTTGTTCTAAATTTGATCTATCCATCATTCGGTTGCCATCTTACGAGCAACCCCTCAAGTCTCTAGGAGACTTGGGCCATCAAAAAATTTTTTACAGGCGGGGATATGAACCCACGACCATGGTGATTAGAATACTAACGCTTCTAACCCGCGGCTATCTGGTGTTGGGACACATTTATCAAACCGATTATATGTGATATGTTCTTCGAATCTTGTGCATATGCTTCAACGTGGTTGCCCAACATATTCCATGTTACAGGCAATGCAATTCGTTTCGTTAATACCTGATTTATCATCTGCATTGATTTCATTTTTATAGGGCACTCGCAGTAATTCGTTGATAATTATTTTTTTATAAATTAGAACGTGTCATTAATTTAGTAGTTTGTGCTAGGAAAACTCGATTGCAAGGATTGCACTACATATTTGTTCTCCATGAATTATCTTTTTCGGATAACTTGATATCTCACATGCACCGAAGCATGGAATAGTGAATTGTAGCTCGCTCGGCCAGTAAATGAAGACCGTTCTTCGATGTTTACGAAGCGACTGAATATATGTATATCCAGTATTGCGGATTATCTCATTCGAAAAATGAAAAACAGAGTGACTGGCCATCAGTGCATGAGATATCGAAGTTTCAGGAGTTTCAGAAGTCGGACTACACCAAATCAACTGATGTACCTACTACTTGATTATTTTTGATTGTGAAGGTGTAGATACTTATAGTACTGCTTGAATGAAAGATGTCCAAAACAATTTTATTATGAATAAAATATAGGTAACAACCGCTAAAAACTATCTCTTATGGACCCCCCAGTTCAGGTACCACGAAATCTTTGATATCTGTCTTGCATTCTTCTTCCCAATTTTGTGGAATGACATTTTTGGTGAGTTCTTTGAGTTTGGTTAACGGACAGAAGCTATCACAACCAGGAATGGTGAGTTTGAAAGGAGGCACTTCAGTGGAATTCCTCAAATAGATCTGAAAAAATAAATGTTCATAGTAAAAACACCCTTTACGCCTTGAAAATGGTAGGTTCTAGAGCTAGTGGTGAGAAAACCATATTATTGCCAAAATATAATCAATGGCTACATAAAACAATTTGAACGAACCTCAACTCCGTAGTCACTGGTGGCATTATCTTTGTACAGTTCGAACAAAATGGTGATTGCATAGCCGGGAAATTGCTCGTCCCAGACTTTGAGGGTGCTCAGGAGGTTGACGATGGTGCCGTCATGGCCTCCGTACAAGATGGCTTTCCTTGCACTCGGTTTGATGGTTCCTGCAGCTTTGGCCGACCAGTCTTCGATCAGTTTCTTCAGAAGAACACCTAGAAAAAACAGGTGAGGCGAGTTGATAACATGAATTCCTGGCAATTTATCGACGTTAGCTCAGTCTTCTCAGTAACTCTGTCTGGGTATTTTGTAGCTTCGACCAAAGCAATTGCACTTCTGAGCAACGACGGTAAACATGATTCATTGACCCCCGGGTCATTCAGTACGCGTTGGGGGTTAGTTAGGTGTCAATTTTCGTGATATTTTATTATGGTCCAACCAAGATAGGTCTAGGTCGATAGAAAACGTTCTTAGACCGGTGCAACGCCAACGGGTGCCCTTGATTAGATAGACGGAACGTGCTTCTCTCATAAAGGACCTTTATACAGCCTGTCCAAGATAAGGTTGCACAGCATGGGGACCTCGAAAACGGTAGGAGATACGAAGTCGGTTAAATGGGGAAAAAGTTGCGCATTCGGAGGCTCATACCAACAGCCTTCGAAAATGTTCAAAATTGTTTTTAGTTTTCCAGTTATATCGAAATAAGTGAATTTATTGAATATACATTTTTTTCTCCGTTATTATTAGATACAGAAAAACAAAAAATATTTTGTATATCAACTTTTGATGACGTTTTACGTGGTGCGTAGTGATACCGATTTTTTCATGCGACGTTTCTATTTCGTACAACCATCATCAACTTTTGTTTTTTAAATACGGTCCTGATAATTTTCCACGGATTCTGAAAGCTTTTTTCATTCTGAATTCAACTATGTATTATACAAGGTGGTTCGAATGTGTTTCGAGCTATTTTTAGCCATCATTAATGTTTCTTCGAAATTCCAAAGGAAAAATGCCATCAGTTCCACTTATTTTGAAGGACAACTAGTCAACACACTAATACCCTATCAACTGGTTAGAAATGATAGACTTATTGAGATAATTAGTTCGAAAAATCTAATTATGACAAGCTCCTTTGGAAAAATACGAATACAATTTTTTCTCCATGTTTTTTACTGGAGTATAATTTCTTTTATCACTCACTATTCTGCAAAAATTGAATATTCGTTGTTTCAATAGTTTTTCCAATTGCAATCCTGAAATAATTCGCTTCATCAAATCGATCAATAAAGAATACGACGATATTATGTTATGTACTTAGTATAGTAGGTGTTGAAAATTGTTTTGAATTTTCGGAATCTGTCATAATTAGTCGTGTTACTACATATTCTATTTAGATGTTTGATAATGGAAATCTTCTCAAATGAGGAAAATTACTATATTTATGCTGACATGCTATACATAATATTTAGCAGTGAAATGATTTTTATACACTTTTCAGTATTGGATAACTAATCCATCAATGTTTGACATTGAATGATAAGAAATAAGTGACTGATAGCATTTTTTCTTTGGAATTTCGAAAAATCATTGATGATTGATAGAAATAGGTCGAAACACATACAAATCACCTTGTATAATACTTGTATAATACATAATATAATACATATAATACAGAATAAACAAGCTTTCAGTATTTGTGAAAAAATTATGAGGACCGTATTCAAAAAACAAAAGTTGATTATGGTCCTACGAAACGTCGCATAAAAAAATCGGTATCACCACGTTGAACTTCATCAAAAGTTGCTATGAAAAAGTATTTTCAGTTTTTCTGTATCTCTAATATGAACTGAGAAAAGAAATAGATATTCCAAAACTTCCCTTTTATCTATATAATTGAAAAACTAAAAACAATTTTGAAAATTTTCGAAGGCTGTTATGTTATGAGCCACCGAGTGCGCAACTTTTTCCCTATTTAACCGACTTCGTATCTCCTACCGTTTTCGAGATGCCCATGCTGTGCAACCTTATCTTGGACAGACTATATAACACATAGGTAAATTAAATATTGCCAGTATTGGCCTGTGTACTGTTATGGTGAACTCCAGCGTTAGTGATGTCCTATTAATATTTCAGAAAATTTGAATGCCTGTTCATTTGTATTGCTAAACTTGCCAAAGTAGATTTTTAGTAGTAGTAGATAGTTGTCTCTGTTCATGGCATGATGTAAACAGTGAAATAAGTCATAGAAAAAAATCAAAATCAGCAGGTAGAGCAAGCACAAACGAACAGGCCTCAATATAGGAGGCCTGGTCCCAAGAAAACTGTGATTTGGGTGGTTTCAATTCGGTTCCTTTCCCCATCTGAAGTCTGACAGAAGTTTGACTGAGGCAAAAAAATCCATTAGTTCCATGAAGAACTCTTGGGTTGCTTGGTCGGACTGGACGCCAACCGATGTGCTATACTCAAGTGGCCTAGTCTAAACAGTATATTGGATGTCGTAACTCTCGGACAATCCCATATTTTCATTTTCAAAAATATGAAACTAATAAATTCTTCGGTAATAAGAAATCAAAATGATAGGAAACGGTATAGGCTAGTGTAAAGTCGGCCATAGCATATGAAGTAACCCCATTGTCTGCGTAAGCTACTTGATTAAGTATGATAAATTATTATAATATTCTTACCTCCAATATACCTATTCATTTTATCATTGAAGGCATTCAATACGAAACTTTTAACAGTTGGATAATACATTTTGTCGGGGTAGTAGCCTTTGGTCCATTCGGGCAATGTCAAATTTGAACGCTCCTAAAAAAATATCACATATACTTACTCCCAATGGTATATGCGAACAAATTATTAGTGTGAGGTGAAATTTGTTGGCTTCTCGTCAACATGTTTAGCCTCCACCATATATGTGAGTTTCTGTGCATGGTAAATTGATGACAATAAAGATAATGGGTGATATTCAATAGCTCGATCAAGTTTCTCTCGAGTTTGGCTTCTACTTACCTATGTAGGTATTGAAATATATTGACGTCCCGTATTTTATGATGAATTCGCACGATTCTCTTGAGAATAATGAAAAAATAAGGAAACTTTTAGAATTTGATATTATATGAAATTGATTGTTTTCGATACCCTCCCACTAAGCAAATTTGAAAGCAATTAAGGTTGTAGCTATTACTGAAACGGAGGTTCAGCAATATTGCGAATGCAAATTTGAAAATGTAACGTTCCAGCAATGTCAAAGCAATATGTGATATTGCTGCAACGCTGCATTATCAAACTTCACCATTGCAATATTGCTGAACGTCGTTTCAGTAATTGCTTCAACATTGCATCAACATATAGCTTTTAACTTTCCTTAGTGGGCTGTTATATCAGAATAACCCTGTGGTTTACATAGACAGAATTGTCTGGCGAACACTGGGGCTATCAGCATCACACGTCAGTAACTATTCGCGGTCGTCAATGTCATTAGATGAAATTGCGATGACATTAAAAACTACGGGAAAACATCCTAATCCCTGGTCACATACTGAAAGTTAGACTTATTTTCCAGTAGTTTTTAAGGTCATCACCCAGATAGCACCAGATATCCCATGAGTCTCCCTATCATATTCCTTATCCTTTTGGAATATTAGAATATCATGAGCAAATGGGAATTCCTCAGATATTCATAGAATATGTACAGATGAATATTCTATCTCAAATGTTTCTGGAATCATCTAATGAACATATTCTGAAATTAAAAAAATGACCCAAGATGGGATCGAACCCGTGACTTTCAGACTATTAGAGAGTACCGCCTTAACCACTAGACCAGTATAATCGAATTAACTAACTTTTTTTGACGAAATGTTTCAGTGATTTTGTTTAGAAAATATGAAATAAACATATCATCTTTAATATTGGTATTCTTGTTGAAAAACGATATTTTCATCCGATTTCGTGAGAAACGCAATTGAACAGTTCAAAGTCACGGCAGAGTCGTGTGGTTTGGACTGTCAGATAATTGTTGCTGGTGAATTACATTTCATGTTAGTGAATGAATTCTGTTGCGAGTTTATATAGTCAATAATTTTTCGATTGGAACGCCCTGTATCTCTTTCCACAGCACACAGTATGTCATGAAAACCTATGTCTATCATTTTCCAGAACAAATAATTTATTCTCTTAAATCTCGTTTGTCTATGCTATATACTTGCTTGCTGCTATGCTTATAGGTATATAAATGATAATCCAATTTTTGGTATTGTTGGCATCATTGTTGATGAAGGAGATGCCAATAAATAATAAATGTATCGAGGGTCTCAAATTCAAATTTGCAACAAATAGACACTTCACGAATAAACGTTCTTAAATATAATTTGAAAATTTCATTTAAATATTTTTTTTACCTCTGCCAATAAGGTCGAATAAATGTCCTGAACACCATCGAAATCGGTTGTATTTTGTCCAGTTATATTTGTGAGTTCCTTGAATAGAGTTTCGTATTGTTTGAACATGTTTTGAACTTCTGGAGATTTCATGATACGTTGTTTCTCGATATGGTATTGAGGGCATGGCTTTCTTACTAGAAGCAACTGAAAAAAAAAGCATAAATATGTACTTATATGAAAAATTAAAAACTAAATTGGGTTTTTCGGTGTCCTTATATTTCCATGATAGAGAGGAAAACAAAAAGTTTACCTATATCTATAATAAATATTTCTCCAAAATAGACTTTTAATGGAGAAGATACATCTCTCTGTAAAAAATGTCTCGCATATATATATATATATTTCTAAATATGTCCGAAACGCTCAATCATATAGGCGATTATAGATATATTTACATAACCATTTAGGAAAACGCGTCATTCTATGTGACGATGGAATTTTGCGGGACGAGTGAAGCGATTTTGACATATAATATGACACTCCAGTATTGAAACGTCTTCACCTAACCAGTTGCGTAAAGTCAAATATTATATAACTGGTAATGAAAAGTTCATTTCAACACCAGTTAAGTAAATAATAATATGGGTGGACAAAGAGATTGCTGCATTTTGTGCAGGCATAAATCTGAACTTGAATTAGCCATTTTCCACTATTGAAAATATCAAACGAGTTCATTTTGTGAATTTCGTCGCTGATTTGAGATCACATTGTTCTTTGACGGATAGGTACTTCAAAGTGACGTGCGAAGTTAACTCGCATACTAAATTTTGTACATAATCGGTAGCGTAGAACCCATGTACCTAGTCATTGTTCAAGCGAAATTTTTCATCAGAATAAAAAAAATTGTACGTAAGACGATAGGAAACGCATTTTGTGTTACTCTCACGAAATGACGCGCTTCCATAATGACCAGTTCTACACGAGTCCTGCTGATTATAAGATACATCTAGTAGGCAAGTTGACTTCGACCGTAACGAAGGATCTGTAGTGATACATCATATTATGATATGATAACTATTATAATCACACTGTAATGTTAGGATATTTTGACAACGATGAAGTTGAATGTTCTTTTGAAAGAGAATTAGATTGTCATTCTAAAAGATTATTAATAAAAGTAATAAAGCTATTACAATTGGTGACCCCGACGAAGCAGTATAATTTTCGAACATGGTTAAACTCTTACTAATACAGAATTTAACTAAAGACCAGCTAGTTAAGCTCCTTCGCCACCTCGAAAGAGATTCCAACGGAACGGTGGCCGACTTGCGAATCTTAATAGAATCTGAAATTGGAAGAAGATATGAAAATATAAGCAATACGAATGATTTTGACTTCACCGATTTATGGGCTCAGGTAAATAGTTCGGAAATAAATACTAAAATAGTGGAAAACGTTGAAGTCCAAACTACCGATGAGAATTATAATGAAAGAGAATTAGATTGTCATTCTAAAAGATTATTAATAAAAGCAATAAAGCTATTACAGTTCCGTTGAAACAATAAGGCTACAAATCAGCGTGATGTATCGGTTACATCACAAACAGCGTAAGTAACTCCGTTTACCGCCGTTACAAGGTTTGCCAGGAGGTTGAGGAAGGAAAATGAGCATGAGCATAAAAACGGAGACTACTTTTCCCAAACAATCTAACCGAACTCGGCCTAAATTAACCTTCTTCCTAGAGAGTATATTTTTAGAAAAATTCTCGAGAGAACAGAAGAGGCTACTTTTTCTAAACAAGGTAGCCTTACTCGTCCTGCTTCACACAATGAAATCCTTCATATCAATGGATTCCTCGAATCTATACAAAGGGTTGGGGACGAATCGGTAATTGAATATTATATGCAAATGATTATATTCGATCCAAATGTAGTTAGGTCAATTGATATTTCGATCAATTCATCTACGATCATTTGATTTTTCGATCAATTGATTTTCGATCAAATGATGCTCGATCGAATGAAGTTCGATCTAATGATTTCGATCATATTTCCGGCAACTGTGTATCACGCCCTTTTCGATTTCGTCATTCGACATCGCTGAGGAACTTTATAGCACGACATATATCAGCTCCAAATTATACAATTATTTTTTCGACGACGCAGTGATGTTCCTTGAGTAGAACATTTTCACATCGCCATATTGTATCGTATTCGTTACTTCAAACTAACTCCTCACTGCGCGGAAAATAGTTAATTATACACCAAGGTAGTAAAGAATATCATTATTACCCAGGGACCATTAAGTTTTTATCCCGAGGCTTCAGCCGAGGGGAATGAGGTCCCGTGGTAATAATATTCTTTTCCGTCGACCTCGTATTAACGACTGAGTTTAATGTATATGAAATCGTTCATTAATGACCCCTATTAATGAACGATTTGTCTATTAATGCACGATTGTTTTGTAGGCAACCAAACATACACCGCGTGCATTCATTGTTTATGCCGAGGTTTATGCTATAACTTACGGAATCTGCATTTAAATCGAAAATATGGATTTCATCGAAGATTTTCCGTTAACGGGTTCGCCTTTCCAAGTTTCTGACACGATTTTAATCCCTGTTTTCTAACACAAGGAATTTATTTTCTATGTTGATCATTTCGACAAATGTCAGTAATGTCAGTAACAAGGCTACTGGGCGATTCTTAGCAGTTTCCGGATGAATGATGAATTCGCGAACCAAGTTTTCTTCATTGAAGGAGAAATGAGAAATATAGTCGGCGGAAAATTTTGTAACCAACTTGTATATTAAGAGGCGATTAATGATCTCGAACATTAACTCGCTCATCAATACACTAGTTGGTTAAATAACTATTACTACCAAGGTGTATATTGAGTTTCTTTCACCACTAGCAATATATTACTTCAATCATTTTAGTTTTGTGAAACCGTAGTATGGACCTATGGTCACTATAAAAGCACTATCTTCAGTAATTAGCCATCATGACCATGACGACAGCATATGACAAGTCGTTATTGATAAATATCCTCGTAAATATCTACTAGATTTGAGTGCCATATTCCTGCGCATCTCTGATTAGAACAGTGCATTCGGGTTAATTACAACAGAAGGTTGCTAAATCTTTATCGATCAGTGGTTTATAATGTGACGAAAACTACCTTGGTAGTAAAAACAGACTCTACGCCTCGAGAAGGAGTAAATAATTGTAGGTTTTATATAGCTGGTGGTGGAAAATAGTCTTTTATGTACACATTCTATAGCTGGTATGTTCTGTTTGAAATTGTCGATGTTTTATTGAAAAGAGGAAATAAATGAATTTGAAAAATATGCTCGGATCACCGAAGTCAAGCAATAACGAGCGCGGTTAGTCTTTGGATGGGTGACCAGTCTACCGGTCACTGGGGCCGTTTCTTTCTCCTTTTTTTTGCTTGGTTTATATTTTTCAAGAACTTTTCGATTCATATTTTTGTTATAAATATAATATTTTCCGCTGCTATGTCACTGTGTTACTGATACGGTATAAGGAGAGATCTTTATTGCGACGTCTCAGGACTACATCGCATAGACGTTGCCAGCAGGAAACATGAGTGTGACAAAAGTAAGTCGCGAATATGTAACTTCTACATCCTCGTAACTTACAATGCGATATCACAGGCCTATAGATGAGACATCGCAAGAACATCTTCAATAAGATGTATTGCTGTGTTTTCTGGGAAGACGATTAAAAAATTCGTCAGTTAAGAAAAGTGTCGAATTACATGTCAAAATTAGAGAAATGTTATATCTTGAGCATTATTGATCTGCATGAAAACCTAGTAAGCAACCTCTAGTGCGAGGAGGTATAGCTCCTGCCTACTAACAGTACTAACTACCTAACTATAGGTTGTCATCTAGAACGACCATGCCTTGACCAACCGCTTGATGCTATAATACAATGGAGAAGAAATAACCATAAAATTTCATCCAAAGTCTCATGGTACAGAGTAGGTAGTAGGTAAAGTTTAAAATATCCTCAATTTTTTAAGCTCATTATGTGATATTTCGGACACCCTGTATAAATTATTTGAAGAAAAAATCAATTAATAAGCGAAGAAGTTACAATTCCTACTCACCATATCCTCTTCTAGTTTCTCGGCAGTGATGGGAACGGGCTGCCAGTCGAGCGGCCCCCACCGCTGGTCCCCTTGGGGGGGCCACAGACCTGCGTTCACCAGCTGCATGCTGACCTTGGTCCGGTCGACGCCTGTCGACTGCGTATAGTATTCCTCGGGGGAGTAGTGATTGCCGAGGAAGCTGCCGTACCTCTCTCGGAGGTATTTTCCCACGTTGAACAACTGCATTTTCCCCTCCTGCAAAATTATTAGATCCGTATTTATAGTCGTTTTCTCAATGTAGTGGTCGACGGAGTTTCATCTGACTTTCTTATCATAAATAAAAAACCCCTCAATTTTGAATGGATTTGTTTCAGTTTACGCAATCTCACGGTAGAATACCGAATGTAACAGTCTCTTCACTCATTGATAGATATATTGATCAAATGAATATTTTCTTTCATCGCCAAGTTTCACACTGGGTACACTTTCACGGACAGTAAATCTCTTGAGACATTCATTTCTGAAAAAGTGTCACATATCACTTACATATTGTATCAGTTCAAATTAGAAAAATAAATAGTTTGATAGCAGGTTGTTGAACAATTATCAAATTATACTTACATTTGTGATTTGTCCCCATCCAGTGGGGTAGAATGAGTTGTTGATATAAGGATCGTTTGGGTAAGTACTGGCCGGAGTTCTCACTCCATGACGCATCACCTATATATAACAAAAACATAAAATTATCTGGATCGTGAACGTGTTTCATTGATATTTTGAAAGGAAATAGTGGAGAATCTCTCCAATATTCTTCATAATTTCTGAAGCAAAACCTAACGCACAAATCGAATTATTTCAAAATAAATTTTTATATATAAAAGTTCTTCCCATGATGCCAACTTCAGGAATGACACTGAATATTATGTAAGAAGACGCTATCTTTGCACACTGAGAGAAACTGGATATTAAAAATATCTACCAGCTCTGATTGTAATAACCATTATGAGGAAATCTCCTATTCCTGATCATTTTATTAATACAACAGTATTCTCTCCATTCTGTAATTATAAAAATCGATTTCTTAAATACCCTTGAATGGACATTTGCTACCATCATAACGCAGGTGTGTTATGACATTAGGAGAATTTCATAGATTCCAGTCTATTTAGATTTTTTATTGGCATAGCTCGTTTTGTGAATTATGCTCATTGGTGAATTCAGATAATGTTTGTCCCAATAATCATAGCTGTTTGGGTTTCTAGCATTGTACGTTGACGAATAACTCTAGCATTTCACATGTATGACGGTTATTAGGCAATCATTCGACAATCGTAATTCGGCTCATTTCGCTCTAGTGTTTCATTAGTATTGGAGCTGACAAAGATACAGATCGCGTTCATTCCACTGCTGCTCTCGGTCATGGGTGCCCGTGATCAATTATTGTTCAATGGTTTCGATCGTCCGAATCGATAGAGCCGTGTCTTGTAGGTGAATGTCTGTGTAGCAAAGTTTTGTTTTAGTGCTGGCTGTGAACCGATCTGTGGAATACACCGTGCATTGCATTATTGCAATGAGAGAAGTATTCTCCATACGCACTTTTCACGGCCTAAAATTGGTTCATTTCAAAAACAAAATGATCGATGAGATTCTGAATCAAAATATTTGGGTTTCTGTGAGGGAAGTTTTATTGACAATTCTTCATCATAACTCCGAAGGAAGGGTAAATAAATATAAGTATTCAACTTCTCATTTCTTAATAAATTCGTCAGTAATGCATATAGATGATATTTATCCAAAAAAATCAATGAGTAATGTCAAAAAACTTCCACAGATACCCAAATATTTCAGTTCAGAGACTAAACGTATTTTTTTGTTTTTTTGAAGAGAATAACTTTGAATCATGAAAAGTGATAGTGTGGATAGGATATTTATTTTCATTGCAGTAATTCAAAGCACGGTTCCATAATGCATACCATCGAATAATGTTCATTAAATAACCTTATTACCACTATTTGATCAATATACTAGAGTAGAAAAATATTGGGATAACTGTTGAAAATGAGCTATATTACAATAGCATGTCAAAATGTCAGGTTTCATGCAGATATCAGATAACTATAATAAAATGAGACGTATTACTGCGTTACCTCAAGATGGTTGTGCCGGTAATAAAATCATGCTGTTTCATGTCGATAGTCTAATAACCACTGTAGAGTGGAGAGTTACTGCAACATTTTATGGGAATAATTCCTATTCGACATTCTGTGTTATCATAGAAACTAGAACAAGTTATACAAGTTTGCAAATTGAATAAGCTGCTATAACTACAAGTCACCTGAAAATTCACTTCATCTATGGTAGCAAATGAACACATCTGTCCCCTATTTATTGTAGATATCGTAATAACGGTTATCAGATTTCCAATTATGATAACTCAAGTTTTCTCTCAGTGCATGTTTACAGAATCACAGTTATTTTCTTTTCTTGTTATATGAATATTATTACTTTTAAATCAATTATACTGATATGTTCCTGTGGTCAAAATTCGGTTATTAAGGTAATTCATGTGGAAATCCATCAACTTAATGAAACAATTTGAAGCGCTGCGTTGAAGATTTTAGTAAAATATATTTTCTACTTCTCCGTATAAAATAATATAATATCAATATTTGACACCAAATGCAAAAATGCATAAAACTCATTATATTTTTCTTTTAAATTTTGAAAAAACATTGATATAGTGGCTATAAATTAAGGTAAAAACACATTCAAAACACTTCGTATAATACAGGCTGATTGTATTCAGAATGAAAGCTTTCAGACTCTGTAAACTCGTATTCAGGTCCGTATATTAAAAAAGAAGTTGATGGTTTCACAGAATTTCTTATTCATGGAAAAATCAATATGATCACGTTGAATTTTATCAAAAGTTGCTATCGAAAAGTATTTTCAGCTCCTCTCTATTTACCCTCTCAATGCGCAACTTTTTTCCCATTCAACCCAATCGTCTCCGAGTGAGGTGTAACGCCTTATCTTGTTCGCACTGCAATGTATACCTATATTGAAAAAATAATGTTTTTTCTGTGACGGGAAAATAGTTCGAAATTTCATCTCTATTGACAGGTTATAAAATGTCACTTTTTATAAATTCCTTTTATCCCACGGGAAACAAGTGAGAACTTTTTCCGGCTATATATCACAAACTGTTGATGTGCTATAGTCTCCGAGAAAGAACTGCAAGTCCTTTTATCTTCCATTCTACTTCGCGGTTACTGATAAACGATCACTAAATTCGCAGTTTTTGGTAATCAAAGTATACAGAATTCGTGTGACAGATATTTGATTACTTCAAACAAATGATAAAGATGCCTGCAAAAACATGCCTGCAACGCATATGTGTCATTCCTGTTAAAAACTTAATATCTTCTCAATATTGATTCGTGCTTTTCCTGTCACAGAAAGAAAAATATTAAATTTTAGTCCATGTCCACAACACAACCTGAAGGTAAAATCTACTAATTTTTTTCCTTTGTATAATAAAATAACTATATTTTTCTGTGACGGAAAAAAGTTTTACATTTTATATCTGTTGACAGGTTATAAAATGTCACTCTTCATGAATTACTTATTTTTCCCACGGGAAAAAAGTAACCACATTTTTTCCCGGATATATATATATATAGTTTTAGAAGCGATAAGTGTCTTCTGACTGACCAGTTGAGGTGGAATATATCAACAATACAAAAAGTATCTCAATATTCCTTCGTGTTGGGGATGCAGTCAAAATTTTGGCCATAAATGAGAACTCTTCGTTACATAGCCGAGCTTTCGGAAATGTTTATTTCCTTTATCAAGAGATCTATAATGAATGGTATAAATAAAACACTTGTAGACAAAACAGGTGACGAAATACTTACTTACATGAGATTGGTAAGAAAAGTTTGATCGATACATAACAGGTACATCATCAGATCATTTACTTTTGCAGGTGAGACATTCATTATTTCTACAAAGCAGTATCACTGTATCTACTTGGGCAAACACTGGTAACTCTTATTTTACAACATCTCCAGTCTGGAGACAGCACAACCTAGCTAAAATCTACTACTTTATCCCCTTGTATAATAAATAATCATTTCAATTATTTCAACCGGGGCTTAACCTGATCGCAGGGGTATAATATCGGATTATAGTTGGGATGGTAGTTGACTCACTGAAAAAAAATATCCTTAGATTGACAGATAACCTATCAGTCGTAGAGGTACATAAAATATGCGTTTCGCGCTCGATTAGAAATTTAAGGTAGTAGGTAAGCTCTCACAAAAAAAAATGTAAGTCATATTTTTCGCTAAAATTGAGATAGCCAAATAGTCTTCTCTGGCCTGTGAACCCAGTGCATGATAGCTATATTATGCTTCAATGGGATTAATATTTGTTTTCAGCCTTATCAAATCCTCAGTGAGGTCAACGTTCACATTGCATCTTTCGTTTACCTTGAATTTGAATTTATCAAAAAATGTGTTTTTCAGGGCTATTATTGGATATGACATGATATAAGTTGATTTATTATTTTCAGATTTTATGTTTTTTATCAAAAATGTGGTTTATTTTCCTTTTTATTTGATGTTCTTACATTATTTCAATATGATACCTATAAGTCGACTGATATTTTCAGATCTAATTTTTTCTTGTTCCTACCTGCCTAAAAAAAAAAATATTATGTTGTTATTGTTGTTTCTAAATGAGAAATTCCCATGGTGGTTGACACTGTTGACATTTGACAGAACGTCAATATAATACCCGTCATATTCGATATGACCAATCAGCATTTTGTGTTGGAACCATAGCCAATGAGGCTTCACCTTCGCATTACCCAATAAACTTTTGGATCTAAAAACGAGCGCATGCGTCTTAAAAATATATCTATAGATGAAAAGGCCTATTAATGATTCAATTTCCTCATTCTGTCACTACACATGAACTTATACAAATCGTTGTCCAAAGTGCTAATAAGAGATTGGTGAATTGATTATGGCAGTTTTAGCTTTAAATTTTCCGTGAGATATTTTCCGGTTAGGTATACATCATGGAGATAGGTATAGTTGTAAACATATATTTAAAAGCTGGAATTCGTGTTTTTCACAATAATTTGGCATGAAATAAGTTTATAGTTATTTATACACCAAGGTAGTAAAAAATATCATTATTAGGGATTGAAATAAATACAGGGTAGTTCAGAATTAGGACTTTTGACCACCCTGTATCCATTTCAATTAAATATCAATTGATAGTACATAAAAAGTTAAGATGTGGACATGGAAACCGTTTAGAACAATCATGATAGGGACATGTAAGCCGTTTTGATCGATAATGAATAGGTTGGACGCAAAAAAATCCTAAAATTGAAAAAGAAATATCAGCTCTTCAGTAAGAATCTAAAAATGCAATAAAATACAGGGTGTTCCATTTGAAATAACGAATTTATAACATAAGTTATAATAAAAGTTTTGTCAAACATTTTGTCTGATTGTATATTTTTTTTCTATAAAGTTGAATACGTATTTCATCGATATTCAACATGTTATGGGATCTTTATGTATGGCGAAAAAAAAAAATTATGACTCATTAGAATTCAAAATACGAATGATTGTAATATTCAACATCGAATTTATGAGCGAATAATATGAAGTATGCAGATGGATTATTCGTTCGAATACCTT